GACAGAGCAGTGACCTAGCTGGACCCAACTCCCTGGCCCCACGGGGTTCACTGGGCCAAGCCACTCTGTACTGATAACGTGGCTTCATGTAAGTCTCGAGTCAGGCGGCGGCTGCCTTCCTACTTTGTTCTTCTTTTTTGAGATTGCTTTGATGATTCCAAGTCTTTTGCATTTCCTACAAATTTTAGAATTAACTTATCAATCACTTTTTTTTTATGTAGTATGTTGAGATTTTGATTGGGATTGCATTAAGTCTTTAGATCAATATGGGGGGAACTGACAGCTTAAAAATAGCAAATGTTGCAGTCAATAAACAGACTTGTTTATTTCAATCTTCTTTCATTTCTTTCAGCAACAAAGAAATCAGAATATATTGAGGGGAGACCAGAGCCTGAATATTTGTTATTATAGAAATTTTTTATAAAATTTGAGTTTTAAAAAATAAATTATGAGCTTAAAAGCTAGATAACTCAGGAGACAGTACTTTATGTAAACTTATACACAAAGTGAAAATTTTCAAATTGTTCACAAAGCCATAAATTGATCATTAAAACCCTCTTCACTGGCCCCCATTATCTGTGTTTTAGGGATCCTCTTGGACAATCTGTACACTTCCACCAGCACACAAATGCCTTTTGGTTGCACAAAAGAAATAATACCCTATGGATTTGTAGTGGGTTGAATGGTAGCCCCAAAAAGACACATCCAAGGGCTAATTCCATACCTGTGAACGTGACCTTATTTGGAAAGACGGTCTTTGCAGATGTGATCAAGTTAAGGATCTCAAGATGCGATCATCCTGGATCAGGGTGGGCCCTGATTCCATCGGGTCCCAAGAATCTGCAGAAGCTGCTAGCGACAGTCTCCGGTCACCAGGAAAATAATTAGCAATCTCATGAACATGTGTTATTTGCAGCTTTGGATCCCCAAACCAATGACCAGTTTTTAGGTAAGTGCTTCCTCCTCTGGATTTTAGAACTTTGTTAACTGTAAGTTATTTTGAAATGTGTGAAAACAATGCATTTCATACTGGAAAATGGCACTCATAAAATCGTTTGACACAGACAACTCTGCATCCCGCAAAGGTCTTGAAAAAAACACAGCTGTGAGATGTGTAACACGAGATTATTCATTTGTGTTAGACCACCGAATCCAGTGCATTCAGAAGTGCCCTCGATGAGCTTCTAACTCCTAGTGAGGCTGAGACTACGGGGACAGAGGCAACCCAATCTAACTGAGGTGGGGGTGTAAATTACTGCAGCCCCCTCCCCACACACACACACACCCTGGGATCAGCTTGGCAACAGCTCACAAGATTAGATCCACGTTCCCTCTAACACAGCATCTCGACATGCTGCCCCCCCCCCGCCAGATGTGCCCGCACAGTGCACATGCAAAGATAAAGACATCCGACACTGCGCTGTTTCCAGCGGAAGGAACTGCAATTGGGGACTGATATGAATGCAAAATTAATAAGTGACACCCTTTAAAATAAAAGCCTTAGGCAATGGAGATCTCCCATAGGGGGCTGTGGTCTGGTCTCCAGAGCAACATTAGGAAGGGCTTGGTTAAATGTCGGTTTGGGGCTCCTACAACAGTGTTCCTTAACCTTCCCTACCCCCAGGATCCAAGGGGAGGGTCCAGTCTGTGTAGGTGTTTAGGGGCGATGCAGTAGGCTAGGTGGCCTGGGGCAGGTCCCAGGAGCTTAAAAGGCTTCTCTGCCAATTCAACCTTAGGGGGGCCTACTGAGTGCCACTGGGGCACTGCCTCCAGACGTGGCCTACCTGCCCCCACACACACACACACCACGCACACGTGGGAAATAGCAGGAATGGGCTCCATAGCCTGTGGCCTGAAGCAATTAAGGATTCCTTTTCCTCATCTGTAAGACGGCTGCGACAGGCTGCCCTTTGTAAGAAGTGTTCCATACAGTGTCAGCTGCAGCCGGCCTCTGAGGTCTCCTGGGTCAGGATGGGGGGGCGGGGGAGGGGGGTGCCCAGGGGTCAATATTTGCATGTGTGCCCAGGGGACTCTTAGGCAAGCTGAAAGCTTGAGAACTTCCACAAGCACCCTAACCGTGCTTATTTTTATTTGAGTTCTGATACGTAAACACTGCATGTCACATATGTATAATATTTATCCAGTACAGATACAGAATCAGCATCACATAACACAGCAAGCCTGCGAGTCACACCTCAGTCTTGCAAATGTGAGGGGACCTGGGTGGGGACAAATCATCACGTTAAATATCAAAGGCTATGCAATGTATTATATGACCAGAGTTTATCCCAACCAGGTCTTGGGGGTGCATCCAGTGTGGATGGTGGTGGTCACTCCTTTTAGCCAACTCTGGTTGCAATAATGAGGCGGTATTTGCAGAAAAACTATTCATGTTCCCAGATTAATTTAAGTAACTGTATGACTTTTGCTTAAAATACGTTTAAAACGTATCCCTTGCAACTCTATAAACCTGTAGTGTCCAGTATGTGACTACTAGCTCCATGCAGCTATTTAAATGTATTAAATAAAATTAAAAACTCAATTCCTGAGTAGCACTGGCCACATTTCGAGTGCTGATGAGCCACAGATGGCTGGTGGCTCACGTAATGAAGAGCGTGGATAGAAGTTATTTCCATCATCTCTGGAAGTTCTATCCGGCAGCGCTGCTAAACTCTCCATCCTATATTAAGTCGTGCCCAGGTGACAGCAAATGCTGAATAGCTATTGGTGAATTAGAAAATAATTGTTCTGACTTGTCTTAATAATTCTTACATGTAACAATCAAAACAGAAAACGGAATCTGCTTTATCCCCAACCCACATTTTGACACAATTATTTAGCTTGCTTCTGCCTACTTCCAGTTTTCTTTTTAACGAACACCTCACAAGTGTTGGATCATACCCTCACCCTATTTACCTGATAACTTACTTCTACTCAAATCTGTCACATTTGTTTCTCCAAATAAATTATCTAAACATTATTTTACTCAAACTGGGTGCTCATAGTTGGATAGACGATGTATGTGTTAAAATTCCCAAGAAACTGATTCTTTTTTCCAATGGGTTAGGATCAAATTCTCAACAAATTTATTTCTTAGGGGAAGAAAGAATTCTTTTCTTTAAAAAAGGGGGTGGGGGTGGGGAATGAGCAAGTATCCAGGATACCATATATCACCAAGAGGAAACTGGAAACTTCCAGGGCAAAAACCTCACACCCAAGATGAATTCTGCAAGGAATCGTGCGAGTTGAAGCTGATTCAGCTGCTTGTCTGATTACAATAAATATACCTTTGGTCTCAGCCCCACAATAGGCTGCCTGGTTTCACAAACTGGGAACAGAAAAAGAGCTGGAGAGAGACTGTCAGTGGTTCTCTCCAACCCAGCAGTACAGGTTTTACCCCAAAACAAGAATTCTGGGCTGGGGGCCCCTCCCAAATGAGCAATCATTTCCCCTCACCCCCACCCCCAGCGAATCGTCCTTATTCCCACCTCCTTTGCAAACAATACTGGAGTTTGCAAATGTTAGCCAAGTTCTCTCCAGGGTATCAGATGAATGTAACCGATTTAACCAAAAAAACTGAAAAACATGCCAGAAATGGAAAGATGGATTCCTGCAGCTCTGAATTTCCTATAGTAGGCCTTTCTGGTAAAACAACAAAATACATTTCTCCAGCAGAATCCTTTATAAATATGGTTTTAATGGTCAAAATTACATTGAGACAGTCTCCTGCAACAAGAAACGACTTTTTGATGTGCTCAACAGAGTACTGTGCAGCTGCGTTCACGGAAAACACAAAACCAGAAAATGAATTTTCATTGAGTTAAATTGTATTGATGCGAATAAAGTTAAGGCTGATGTTTATCTCCTTTATTATGCGTTTGACTTCCTCAGTTTCAAGATCTAAATGACTGAAGGGGGAAATGGTTCAATGGAATACGGATCTTAACAGCAGAAAATAAAAGGGTAGCCTGCCACCGAGGACCCCAGAGAGGACTCCAGGCCACCCCACTTCTCAACGCGGTCGTTTACTGTCTGCCGCGTGCGATTGACCCAAAGGATCTAGATTTCCAAATCCTGGCGGGCCCATGAATGACTTAGTCCCAGGTTAGAAATACCGCCTCCAATCTCGCTCCCACCTCTCACATTCATTTCATCAAAACCGTGAAACACATTGAAAAGTGCAGTTCCTTTTCTCCCTTCGTGTGCCCTAAAACTTGGGGGCTGGGTGCCACTCTTCATAACTAAAAGTAAGAGCACGGATCAGTTCGCGTTTTCAGTTGATGCCTCTTCCTCTCTCGCCTTTGCAGGGAAAGGCCGGGCTGCTCAGATTGTGCTGCCCACCCCGACCCCCCACCCCCCATCTCCCCTTCGGCGCTTTCGTCTTCCCTTCCTTCCCCAACCCCCAGACCTTTTGCTCCCACGCAAAACAGGTCGAGTGCCCGAGATCGAGGGAGACCAAATTCAAAAAGACGGCGGCGGGGGGAGGCCGGCGCGCTCCGAAGCAGCGCCCCTCGGAGGCGGGGGCGGGAAGCGGCCGCCTCGCTCCGTCCCGACTTCCCCTTTCGGGCCAGAACAATGGCTTTTGGCCCGGAGGAACGAAGTTCGGAGGAAGCCAAGCGCACCCCGGGGGCCAAGCGGGATTCCGCGGTTGACTCCCCAGGTCCGGAGCTGCGAGGCGCCCCCCTCCTCCCCGGGCGCAGGACCACCCGGGCGCCTGGGGACCCCCACATCCGGCCGGCGCCCCAGCTCAACCCAGGACCTAAGGCGCAGACCCCGGCCCCGGGCGCGAGGCCGAGCCCTCCGTGAACAATACGCGCCCCGCCCCCCGGGGCCCGCCCCCGCGCGCTCATTGGCCAGTGCCGGATTGGGCGGCCCGTGGGGGGCGGAGGCGGGCCAGGGAGCACGGCCCAGGGCCCCGTGGCGGAGGTGCGCGTGCGCGGGGCGGGCCCTGCGCGGGCGGGGGCGGCGCTTTGTGCGCGGCGGCCGCGGAGGTGCGGGGAGCGGCAGGCGCCGCGGTAGGCGGGCGGGCGCGCGGCAGCATGGAGGAGCTGAGCAGCGTGGGCGAGCAGGTCTTCGCCGCCGAGTGCATCCTGAGCAAGCGTCTTCGCAAGGTGCGTGCGGCCCGGCCCGGCCCGGCTCGCCCCGCGCCCGCCCGCCCCGGCTCACGCGCCCGTTCTCTCCCCGCAGGGCAAGCTGGAGTACCTGGTCAAGTGGCGCGGCTGGTCCTCCAAGTGAGTCCCCAACAATGCGGCTGCTGCCTTCTTACCGGCGTCGCTCGGCCCCGGGGAGGAGGGGGGGACCCTCGGCCGCGGCATCGGGGTGGGGGTCGTCGGCGTACAGCGCGGGAAGTTCCGCGGGGTCCCCGCGGGCTCCTCCGGCTCTGCGGGGAGGGGGGCGCCCAGGCCGAGCAGGGCTGCCCTTTGTTTTCAAGCCCGAGGAGTGCGGGGCTGGGCGGTCTCCCCTGGGACGCCCCTCAGGTCGCCGCCTCGCCCCGCTTTCGGCGCCCTGGGCCTCTCTTTCCTGCGCGCGGCCCGCCTCCCTCCTGCGCGGCGCGCTCCTCCCGCGCCCATTTGTTGCATGCGCCCCCGCCCGCCTCAGCCCTCCCCGCGGACCCGAGCCCCCCTCCTCGTGTCCATATTTCCCCCGCTGTAACCTGAGCTTCCTATTGATGAATGTAGGGCTTTCTTTTTTCTTTATTTTTTTTTTCTTTTAATGGAAGGGAGGGGACTTGGCATCCCCGGAGGGGGCTCTGTTTACAGTCGCTCGCACAGACCCGTTTCCCCTTTCTTCCCGGACCTCACTTTCCTTTCTTTGCTTTCCCCTCCCGGTGCCCCGGCCCGCGCTCGCTTGGGCGCCAGCCACATTGTTCTTGCTGTTTGGGCTGCGCTTCTGTGCCCTTCGGCCTCCCCCTCCCTGCATCCTGGACACTCTTCCCTTTCCCTCGCTGGCCCCGGGCCAGGCTTTGGGGGCTTCCCTGTACCACTTTCCATTTTGTTGGGATTTGTTTTTCTCTCAGAGGGTGAATGTCGATTCCTCCTGAGGCCGCATGTTAATGGCGGGGTGGGGGGGGGGCGGTTTTCCTTTGGGTTTAAAGATAAGGTGCGGGCTTCAAGGGCTCCAGCCTCCTGGAGTGAGTGGGACCTCATCGCGGGCATGGGTGACCTTGGGGAACTGCCCCAGCACCCAGTGCCCTTGCCATCAGCAGGGATTGGCTTTCTGAAGTGGCGCGCCGCTGCCTGCTGTTTTACTACGACCTGCACTTTGCTTTTCCAGACACAACAGCTGGGAGCCAGAGGAAAATATCCTGGACCCACGGCTGCTCCTGGCCTTCCAGAAGAAGTGAGAAAGTTACAGCTCGCGTGGGAGGGGGGAGGATGTGCAGGGGGGATGGTGGCCTGTCACACATTCATGCAGGGTCCTGGGCTTGGGCTGTCACCAGGGCCTCTGGTGACATCTCCATGGCTGTCTGTGAAGGTGGAGCAAGCTTTGAGGTCCCAGATGGTCATCCCCCCTCCTGTCTGTTGGCTGGTTCTGCGTCTGGACCTAAGGGGTCACTGGGTGCTGCTTTGGTCTTTCTGACAGTCAGATTTGCCAAAATGAACCTTCTCGAGTCCTTCGTGAAATTTTCTAGTTTCTCTTCTTGGCCTTTTCTGTTTGCAAGCAGGACTAATAAAAACTAGGATGGTAGGTTTGCCATAAAAATGCAGACCTGGCCCTGCATGTGGGTGCCATTGAGCAAGAGAAGGCCCAGAGAGGGAGCTGGAACACTCAACACAACGTTTGGCCTGTTACGGGGTATCTGTACCAAGAACAACACATTTTTTCCCCTGGGCTGCAAAACCCATGGTACTGCGTGAGCACCATGGGAGCCCCTGGCCAGTCTCCTTATGAATTTGCTTTTGTAATTCTAGATGTCGTTTCTATTTTTAAGTAGGAGACTTGGGTTCAGAGAAAGGCCTCCTTGAGATTCTTGGGGGAAAGGGTGGTGAGAGGGGGGCATGGATGAGCCCCCCATTTGGGCACGAGAGTCCAGGAGTGCTGTGCCAGAGCACACTGGGCGGGGGCGGTGTGGGCACTTGGCTGGGCATTGCCCTCTTGATAGGAACAGAGAAATTAGTTGCTCAAAAGCTGTCCCCGCTGGGGTCAGTCCGGCCAGCTTGTTCTCTGGTAACTCAAGCTGTGTCCACTTTTTCCTCATCCTAGCTGGCCATTTTGGGTGTTCTCAGAGGGGTGGTGACAATGGGGGGAAAGCGAAGGTGGGCTTTGGGCAGGCTGAGAGAATGCAGGGCTCGGCCCGGTGCCTTTGGAAACGTTGCTCAGCAACGTCACTGGCAGCTAGGTGATTCGTAACTTGGTCCTGTGAGCCTTAGGGGCAGAGTCCTGACGGGAGAGAGCACGTGCTGTTACCTTCACTTTGGGTTGTAGTACAACAGACAAGAAGTGGGGTTGGTGAATAGCTGCAAGGCGGAGGAGTTAAAGCCATCGGGTGGTCAGGATTACATCCTGGGGGAGAGAAAACTGGGAAGGTGGTTGCTCTACCTTTCCCTGGAAACCAGAAAGATCCCCCCGGAAACTGGGAGCTGGCAGTTATTTGCTTGGCGTGGGGGTGTGGCCTTTGTAAGAAGTCTGAGGTTAACAGCCCTCAGGTACAGGAGACTGGGAGGGGGGAGGAGACCCATGAGATGCTCCTGTCCTAGGAGGCAGGTTGGGGCTGCTTTGGAGGGTGAGCTCGGTGTGGTTGTGCTCATTGGCTTCTTTAAGAGAGCACCTTCCAGGCACCAGTAAGATGCTTGTCCGTTTTAATTACCGGGAAGCTTCTCCAGATAGCTTCTCTTCCCCGGGGGTAGCCTGAAGCACAAGCCTCGTCTGGGCTGGGCTGGAGGCCCTCTCTCGGATTCATGACCCCCAGTCACGGGGGCTGGTTAAAGGTGTCCTGCAGGCGGTGTGGGCTCTGAGGCCTGGCCACTTCATCTAGAGCAGAGTGCAGGAACAGAGAGGTCTCAGAAACAGGAACGCGAGAGGAATGGGTACCGGAGTGGAATGGGCCTGGCGCCCACGCATCCCCTGTGCTCCTTGGACCTGTGGGATTTTGTGTGGGTAACGGGGGGCGGGCGCTGGGGGCAGTGGTCCTCGCCTCCCTGCCCTGGACTCTGATTTGAAGTGGGGGGTTGGGCCATGTGCCCACGAAGACTCCTAGTGACATTCCGAAATTCCCACTGAACGTTCTACCCACAGAAGGTGGCCTGGATTAGCACTGGGTCATTGTAAGTGGTGGCAGAAAAGAAACCTGGAAGACTGTTTGTTTCCTAGCTTTGCTTGAATGTCTGTGACTTGTCTTTTCCCAGTGCAAATGAAATAAATGGATATTCAGATATTATTGACCCATTTTCCAGAGAAGGGGGTCTGGACCTCTGCCCGGGATATGTTAATTAACAGGATATGTTATTGCAGTGAAACTGATCATAAGCTACCATGGGCTGGGCTGGAATGCTGGGGTGTTGGAAGCCATGGGGCTCCGCGTGGCGGGGAGAAGGTCTGTGACCCTGACTGATGATTGTCTTCAGGGAACAGGAGAAGGAGGTGCAGAACCGGAAGAGAGGCAAGCGGCCCAGGGGCAGGCCACGGAAGCACACGGTGATGTCCTCCTGTAGCCGGCACTCCAAGCTCAAGGTGGGTGGCTGATGCCCAGCGTTGGCTGCTTACCCTCCAGCCCTCGGGGCAGAGTGGCAGGTCTCGGAGGTGGAAGGGTTGAGGGCTTTGGGAAGTGAGACCCTGGCCTGCCTCCCTCCTTGCTGCCACTCAAGCCTCTGCCATTGGCAGCAGCAAGCTCAGAGTCCCCCTTCAGGGCCCCGCCGTGGCCTACCCCCTCCTGAGCTGGTTTCCTATTTGACGTCCCTTCTGCACTCCTTTATACTGAAGAGCAGGCTCAAACTTGGCTGCTGGTCATTACTCTCACCCCCAGCGGCTTACGGGGAACAGAAAAGCACAGGAAGTGTGCACACAGTAGGTGCTCATAGGTTTGTCCGGTAGACGCAGCTGCATGGGCAGCCCACAGACACACACACACACCTGGGCTCTGGCAGTGCCCTGCCTCCTCCAGTAGTTCAGAGGCAAGATGGGATATGAGGTCGCCAGTCTCGGGTGTGCCTGGCACCTTTCTAAGGGGCCTGATGCCACATGCTGTGGCCAAAAGCATGGTCACTTACCTAAAACCACCCTTCCAGGAGGCTCTGGGATTCCTGCCTTCGGTCTCATTGGTTAGTTTGCACCAGCCTCATTTTGAGAGCTTCTTTTTGAACAAGATAGTGGGGGCTGCAGAAGTCCCACTGACTGCAGGAGAACGTGGGGTGTTTGCATTGACTGGCTGCACTGGCCAACCCTACAGCTCAGGCTCTCATCAGCTGGGGTGATGAGTTGGGGAACCAGCCAGGTAAGGAGACCTTGAGACCCCAGGTTTGATTCTGTTATCTCCAGTTCACTCAGGCGAGCTTTGTGGCACGGGTGCGACTGTTGGCTCTGTCTCCCTGGAAGTGTACCTTTTAAAATGCTGACCCATTGGGAAACATGAGGCCATGAGAAACAGAAGGTGTACTTCGTATTTGGGGTGACACCCAGGAGACAGGAGGACAGTGGGGTTTTTTCCTGTGTCCTGGGAGGTTCTGAAGGGGTCACATTTGGAAACGAGGAGATTGAAGCAAGATGCCCACTTTAGATTCCAAAGCTCTTGTGCACACTGCTGCTTTTGACACGTAACCTTAGGAGACGCGCGGGTTGTGCTGCTCTGAACTTCCCGTTTGGAATTGTCTGCTAGGAGCTGGCGCTAAGCTTGCATCCCCCTTGAAAGCTAATAGCACCCAGCAGCTACAGTGTGTTTGTTTTATGAACCACCTGTTTGTTTTTTCTTTTCTACTTTTAACTGCATGTCATAGAACCTCGTTAGGCCCTCATGCGTCCTTTCTGGGACAAGGCAGTGAGAAATCGCTCCCTTCTGGCCGCCTCTAGCCTGGAAGCCACAGGAAGTGCTGGCTTCAAGACTTCCGACACTGGACCCTGGGAACCAGACTGTAGAAATGGTGACCCCTTCCCTTTGTCTTTGCAGGAACCTGATACCCCCTCCAAATGCAAATCCAGCAGCTCCTCCACGTCATCCTCGTCCTCGTCCTCGTCCTCAGATGAAGAGGACGACAGTGACTTAGATGCCAAGAGGGGTCCCCGGGGCCGCGAGACCCATCCGGTGCCTCAGAAGAAGGCGCAGATCCTGGTGGCCAAGCCAGAACTGAAGGACCCCATCCGGAAAAAGCGGGGCCGCAAGCCCCTGCCCCCGGAGCAGAAGGCAGCCCGGAGACCCGTGAGCCTGGCCAGGGTGCTGAAGACCGCCCGGAAGGACCTGGGGGCGCCGGCCAGCAAGCTGCCCCCTCCGCTCAGTGCCCCTGTGGCTGGCCTGGCTGCCCTGAAGGCCCACGCCAAGGAGGCCTGCGGTGGCCCCAGCGCCATGGCCACGCCAGAGAACCTGGCCAGCCTGATGAAGGGGATGGCCGGCAGCCCCAGCCGCGGCGGCATCAGCTGGCAGAGCTCCATTGTGCACTATATGAACAGAATGAGCCAGAGCCAGGCCCAGGCCGCCAGCCGACTGGCGCTCAAGGCCCAGGCCGCCAGCAAGTGCAGCCTCGGGCTGGACCTCAAGGTGAGGACGCAGAAGGGGGAGCTGGGGTTAAGCCCTCCAGGAAGCAAAGTCCCAAAGGCCCCCAGCAGTGGCGGTGTGGAGCAGAAAGTGGGGAACGCAGGGGGCCCCACACACGTCCACAGCAGCAGCAGGGTCCCCGCCAGTTGCCTGGGCCCCCAGCCTATACCCACCCAGGAGCTGAGTCTCCAGGTCTTGGACTTACAGAGTGTCAAGAATGGCACACCTGGGATGGGCATGGTCTCCCGCCATGCCACTGCCACCAAGAGTGTCCCTGCCACCACGCCAGGCACTGGGAAAGGCGGTGGGGCTGGCCCCACCGGGGGCAGCGGGCCTGGCATGCTGACCGACACCAGCAAGAGTGAGAAGCTGGCCTCCAGGGCAGCAGCTCTGCCCAGCCCTCCAGGCAAGAGGGACTGTGTCAAGGGCAGTGCAGCCCTCGGAGGGCAGGAGCTGGGCCCTGGGGCCCCGGGAGACGGGCGCAAGGTGGCCATGCTATCAGAGATGAGCACCGGTGAGGAGAACAGCAGCTCCGACTCAGACCCCGACTCAGCCTCGCCCCCCAGCGCTGAGCAGAACCTGTCGGTGTCGGTGCAGACCAGCCAGGACTGGAAGCCCCCCCGCAGCCTCATCGAGCATGTCTTTGTCACCGATGTCACCGCCAACCTCATCACGGTCACGGTGAAGGAGTCCCCCACCAGTGTGGGCTTCTTCAGTCTAAGGCATTACTGACTCCGCAGCCGCCGCTGCCGGGGCCTCCCCTGCCCTTCTCTGGCCTCTGGTTTTCTTCCAATAAGTGACCCCCACCCCAGATCCTCTGCAGGGGCTGCATGGCCTCCTTCGAGAGCAGGCGTGGAAGGCCTCCTGGACCCCGGCCTTGCTGTGACATCGGGCCAGGGCGCTCCCTTGATGCCTTGCCAGGGCCTGGCCTGGCCCTGTTCCTACCTCTGGGCCTTCACTTCGCTTCCTGTTGGCCTCAGGAAGTCTGGGCCGCCACCTGCAGCTGGAGCCAAACTGAACTGCCTGTGATGACGGTGGTCGGTTTTCTTCCCGATTTCCCTGGGACACAGGTGTTAGAGGAGGGAGATTCTGATGCGGCTTGGCTGTTCCTGCCCAGTGGTGGCAAGAGAAAGTGTACTGGGGGGTAGGCGAGAGTAATAACTGCAGCCCCCATTGTTGGGCTGGGAGGGGCAAGTCCTAGCACTGTTGCACCTGAAGAGCCTCAGAGTTTTGGGGAGCAGGAGAAGGGTGTCACTCTAGCTGCCCTCCTTTTCTGCTGGCCTGTGCGAGGACTCCCTCAGTCCTGTCTCTGGCCCCACAGACTGTCCCCAGCGCCTGAGGAAGGAAGGAGTGAGGGCAGTTGCTGGACGTGGGTCCCCCACGTCCTGCAGGCTGCCTGCTGTTGTGTAGGGGCTTGGCCGTAGTTCCCATCCATGGAAACGGCACCACCTTTCCCTGACAATCCTCCCACCTTTGGGAGTTCCATGTTCTCAGCTGAGGAGCTATAGCCCTGTACCACTTGGGAAATGGGACAAAATTGGAGTGGCCCTCCTGGCAGAGGGCCCCCAGAAAGGCTGCATCTGCCAACCCAACTGCCCCCCTCAGGTGGCCGAATTAGGAGCTAGCTGCCTGAATGGCTCCTGACCAGCGTCAGAACTGTTAACAGAGAGGTGGGTCAGTGCATGGGGTCATAGGTCTTTGTGATGCCAAAAAGAAAAAAGGGGTTTGGGGGGCTCCCTTTCTGGTTTCAGTTATTGGTTAAAGTCAACCAGTAGATGTGGGGTTCTTCCTTAATCCCCAAAGCCTTGAGTGCAGGGGACAGCCCAGACTTACGCAGTGGACTCTGGTTCCTGCTGGAGGGGCCTGCTAGAGCCCCCGTCTCCGCAGTCCCTCACCCTCCATGCCAAATAGGACGACATGGCTTTTGTGTAGCCAAAACAATTTCAGCAGTGTGCCTTTGGGGACAGCTCATGTCCAGGACCTCTGAGGGACATCCAGATGCAGCAGGAGTGGTGCCCACCTTGGCAGACTTGAGGGCTTGGAGTCCCAGACAACCAGGCGGAAACTGGAAAGTGGGCACTGGAGGGAGACTTGCCCCTCCTCTGTCTCAGCAGGGAGCGACTCCAGCTCACTGCACAGCCTGAAAGAAGGATCCCAGCAGACTGGGCCATGGCTCCAGCCTCCCCTGTCCCCAGACACCCAGGTGCCCCCTGGGTATGACTATAAAGGGGCCCCCCTAGGCTGCCCCCCCCCAAGGGGAGCTGACGGCCTCCAGGCTTTGCGGCTTCTTTCCTGCTGGCACCGTGCTGCCTTAAGAGGCTGCAGAGCCAGACCAAGAGCAGCTCCCCTGCAAAGCCCATGGGGCAACCCTGGGCATCCAGGAGCTGTGGGCTGACCTGACACCCCCAGCAGCCAGGTCTCCAACCCCGACTTGGTGCCTTTCTGTTTACCAGCTATTTCAATCCCAAAGTTTGAATCTGCAAACACCTTACTCCAGCCACTTCTGGCTGTGTTGTGTTTTTCTTGTTTGTGACGCCAAGCAGTTTGTGTTTATGTGGGCGCGTGTGCAGGTGTGACAGCCTTCGCTGGAGTTGGACCAGGTGCTCAGAGTTGGTCATGTTTACCAATAAATAAAATTAGTACTTTTTTATTTGCTGCTATGTGTGTGTGTGCACGTGTGTCTAACCATCAGTCACACATCCAACGAGATTCCTTGTTGGTTCGTTTTGCAGGGGTTCCAACCTACGTGACTGCGTGGAATGCATCCCGGTGTATGTTGAATGGGTATTTTAATCCTATCGCGTCTTTCTGTTTGCTTCTGTAATGGGTAGGAAGAAATGGCTAGTCTGTCCCCTTTAAAGGGTTTGCCATATTTCTATGTATCTTTTGGTACCAAAAAGAGTGTTCCTTTGTAAATTTGGTACACTCAAAGTTCTGGCCTGACTAAGGGCTCTGGGCCTAGAGGTTTCATTAGGAAAAAAAATTGGGGAAAGGACCAGAGCTTTGGACCGGTGCCAATCACTGGCATGATCTGTGTTTTTTAATTTTTTTATAAAAAGCCAAATCATTCATGTATGCCACTTCTAATTGCTTTAAACTGGCTGTTTGTTTGTTTTCTTAAAAGAGAACAAAAGTGGATATGTTATTACCCTGGGCAACTTAAGATCTTTGTTGAAACAGGACAGCAGCCCAGCCCCCATTTTCAATCAGGACCAGTTAAAGGATGTGCTCCCCCCAGGAAGCCCACTGTGCTTGGGGGGAGAGGGTAGGTCGAGGGGACATGTAGTGCCTAGATGCCCAGAGTTTTGCTCACATGCACCTAAAACTTCTGTGCATTTTCTAGTATTTTTGGAAAACTAACACTAGCAATAGGTTGCAGATTTTTTTTTTTAGACTGATGTTAATTTATTTGGCAGGGGAAAGACATTAGCAAATGTGTCCGATTTTTGTCCGTTTGTTAACTTTTAGTATATCAATAAATATTTTTTTAACTTGTCAGCCTGGCGTACGTTGTGAGTGGTGCCTGGAAACAGCTCTCTTCTCTTTCATTTTCTTGAGGCAAGTACTTCTCCGGACATGGATGGAATCGGACTGAATCTGAGGAGGAAAAAAATCAAAGGCTTTGGGAAAGGTTTAGCCACTTTCATGGGAGGCGGAAGGATTTTTTTTCTAAGCAAAGGGGTGGGATTGATTATAGAAGTGAGTCCCTATGCCAGCGGTTCACAAAGAGGGCGACTTGGCAATGCCTAGAGACAGTTCTGGTTGTCACAAGGTGGGGGGACGGGGGGAGGCGTGAATCGTTGATACTGGCATCCAGGGACTGTACTACATTGTAAACTCACTTTGAGACATCTCCCAAAGACATACTTGAGGTTAAAACAACCCTAAAATCCTCTTCTCCCCACCCCCACCCCCAGTATCCAAACTGTTGGAAAGCTACCCAACCCCTTGAATCCCCCACATGGTAACACTTTAATAAAAGAACAGAGATGGAAGACTGCAGGGGAGTTGCTACAAGCACACGAAGCTTGGAGTGATCGGGGCTACTGTAACTCCTAACCCAGGGCTCATGATAAAGAGATGATTGCTTCCTAAATAACCTCCCTGGTCCTTTAGGGTTGGTGTCACCCTCAGCATGAATTTATTCATAAATGTCATCCTCCCGAGAGAATCAAGCTCCCTTTGAAGTGAAGAGAGAAGCTTGGGCCTGGTGTTGGCCGCCACTGGTTGGAAGGCTAGTTGGGGCGAAGGCCTGACTGTTGTAGCTCGGGAGCAAGTTTCCACTGCGGCTAGAAATGCAACCCCAGCTGTACCTGACTCCAGGAAAAGCCTGTGGATTTGAAATCAGATGCTTACCGGGACTTACCGGAAGACTGCTGGCATGTTTTCCTTTGTTGGGTCTTAGAGGCTGAAGCTGTTTTGTTTTGGGGAAGGTGGGCTGGGACAACCCTAGCTGCGCTGTCCCGTGCCTTTTGAGAATTACAGGAAGGGGTTGAGGATGGCCAGGGAGGAGCAGGCTGGCGGAGCTGGAGCAGGCGCTACCACCCGATGGCGATCCTGGCTTTCGTGGGAGTCATTTCTACAGAGCCTGGGCCAAACGGGCGCGGGTCCTGGTCCACACCAGCATTTGTTAGTTTTCTGCGCAGCTGATCTGATTGCTTAATCCACCTCCTTCCCAGAAGAATAGGCTGGCCTGCCAAGGGGCCAGACTCGGCCGGAGCCCCGAGCTGCCGGGTCCATTCTGAAGGCGTCTGGCATGACCGGTGCATCCAGGCTCCCAGACGCGGACCCGGCTGGCTGGACACCGCCTCCCTCCCCTCCACCTTTGCGGCTTGAGGGTCTGGCCATAGAGAGGGCGCAAAGGGGGCACCCACGGTGCCCACTCTAGCGTGCTGTTGGGTAGGGGAGAGGGAGCGTTCCCTGCTCCTTTCGGGACCCAGAAAGGCACCAGCCGCCCCGGGAGGGGATGGGCCACGGGGAGAGGGGCTGAGGCCAGCGCCTCTAGAGGGCGCGCGCGCCCCGCCAAGTGCTGGCCGCCGGCGCTTCGGACGCGCGGGGGAAGTTCCCCACCTGGGGCTCTGAGCTGCCCGCAGGAACCGAATTGCATGATCCGCACCCCGACCGGTCCAAGCGGCCCACAGCAGCCGCCGTTTCCGAAGTCCGGAGGAAAGCCCTGGCCCCAGCCCACAGCCTCTTCCCCCGTGTCCAGGCCCCCGAGGCTGGACGCCCGCCGTGGAGCCCCGACAAGCCCTGAGCGGGCGGGTCTCGGATTCCAGCCGGGTCTGGAGGACTTTTCGGTAAGAAGAAAGCGCACAGGCCCCCAAAGCACTGAGGCAGGGCTGTCAGCCGTCGGGTCTGCGGCGCACGCCCAGGGCCTCAGCTAGGACCCGTGCGTCGTGAGCATCAAAGGAGCAGTGAAAGGGACCCGACCCGACGCTCTCGGGAGAGGTTGAAACATTCCAGTTCAACCAGTGTGTGTGCTGCGACAGGCTCCACGCCGGCGGCGGCCGCACCAGCCGGCCCTGCCCTCGGGATGCAGGGGACCCGCCCGGGCGGGAGGCGGCACCGCGGCCCGGGCCTCCACACCTGGTCGCTTCCCCGGAGAATCTGCCCAGGGAACGGAAACCCGCAGAAGCAGCTCCTGGTCAAACCCCACGTGGATGGTGGCCCGCCAACCCGGGAAAGGGGGCAGAGTCGGCGCCCGTCCCTCTCCCTAACCGCGAACACGCAGGAGGACGACCCGGGAGAAGGTCCCGGCCGAACAGCAGGGGCCTGGCCTGAAGGCTTGACCGCCGTCTGCGACCCTCACCCGGCCGCCCCACTCCACTTCCGCCCTCTGATTTTGGGGGCAGCCCACGCAGGCCCCTCACGTCCGTAGGGCGCTCAACACTCGGTGACCCGAAGCCGGGCCGCTCCCCCCCCCCTGGGTCCTCCCACGCAGGTCGCAGAACCGCGGGGAGGAGGCTGGAGGAGCTCTGCCAAGGGCGGGGTCGCGACTTGCTGGCCCAGGGCAGGCGACGCGCGGGAGAACGCGTGCCCGGCCCCTCCCTCGGGCCCTGCCGGCGCGCCTAGATCCCGGCTTCTCCGCGGGGCGACGTCTAGGGGGGACACGGGAATTAGGTTCGGTGCGATGGCCTCTTTGGGGGTCCCGGGGGCGGCTCTCCTGTGCTGGCCTCACGACCCCGCCCCCACTGCTGCAAAGCCTTGGGCCAGGAAGGGCCCAGAGCCCTCCACCTCCACCCCGCGCGCTGTTCCTCCCCGGACCGTGCCTCGCCCAGCGTTGGAGGTTCGGCCCCCCACCCCACCCCCAGAAGACCTGGGACTGAGAGGCTGCGGGGGCTGGCGGGGGCCGCGGGGCTGCGCCGCGGCAGCTCCGGGTTCACTAATCACATCAGCTCGCTCTGCGCCGGCTCCAAGCAGCCAGTTGCCTAGCAATACCCGCGAATTCAATTCTTCAATCAATAGGCGCGAGGCGCTGCATTTCGGGGAGCACGGGCAAGGCTGGGTGGGTCTGGGGTGCAGGTCCCACGACAGTAGTGGGAGCAGGCCGGAACACCCGGGGAACACGGCTGAGAGGCTCCGAGACCTAGGGCACCGGCGACGTCGGGCCTGGGGGTGAGGCGCGCTGGGGGAGACACGCCAGAAAAAAAGGGAAACCCAAAGGTTCTGCCCATGTTCCCGGGGTCCCCGAGTTCTGCCCGGTCCCAGAGAAGTCAGGTCGGTAGGTGAGGAAAGCGAAGACCTGCCCCCAAGGAGGTGAGAAGGGACAGACCCCGCTCCCTCCCAAGCTCACCTCTCTCTCCCCTTAGTGGCGTTATCCCCAGTTGGGGAAGGGCCTTTGGGGGTGCGATCCTGCCGGGCTGATGGGGCCGAGAGTGGGGGACGGGTGGGAAGTGAGAGGGGAGGGGGAGAAAAACAAAAAGAAGGAATAAAGCCGAGACAAGTCTCTATTTACAAAGTATATATTTAAACACGTAAAAAGCGGTATTGGATACAGACACTCACGACCGCAGAAGACAGGTACCGAAGCCTCGCTCTTGAGCTGGGGCGGAGATCGAGTCAAGATGTGTACAAATCTCAGCATTAAATAAACCCAACACGCACGCACCCGCGCGGCGGCAGACCCCCAGCCGGACGCCCCCGCCCCCCGGGTCGGCGTCGCAAGAGCGAGTGAAGGAGACACACGCACGGCCGCGGACAGACGGCAGGACGGAGGGGCTGTGAGGGCAGAGCCAGGCCGGCCGGAGGGAGGTCGGAGGCAAGAGGCGAAGTCAGCCTGGAGGGGGGAAGGCGAGGAGGACCCGTGTCCCCGCGTCGCCGTCCACTCGGTAACAGGCAGTTCCCGTCAATGACTTTCCATCTGAAAATAGCGTCGACGTTTAAATAGATACAGGGAGTCAACGGCGCTTCTTTATACAAACTCTAAAATACCACTTTTACAAAGGTGAGCAGATAAAAATCCCCGTTCCGGGGGGCTTCTCTTTATAGGCGCAATTTAATCTTCAAAAACAAACAAAACCATGTAGGACAGCGTTTTCCTCCTTTTTTCACCCCCTCTCTTTAAAGGCAAGGAAGTCTGGCGGAGAGAGGCTGAGCAGCGGGAGGTGGGAACACAGGGGGGCGAGGACGACGAGGCTGGGGTTCCCTCCTTGTCCAGACCCGGCTCCCGGCCTCGCTCGCCCGGAGTCTGTGCTTCCTCCCGCTCGCGGGGCCCCCACGCCCCTCCCTCGACGAGCCATCGGTGGCCTCTCCGCTGGCCCTTTAAGGACCGGGGCGGGCGGGGAGGCCACAGGATCAGTCCTCGAAGGTGGGGGGGCGGGGGGGGGCATGGCAGATTTGTGCTTTTGAGCCAAAAAAAAGGGGGGCGAGCCCTGCGTCCTCGGCGCGCAGCGCGGTCACGGGCCGGCCGGGCTGGGGGCGTCCCGGGACCGGCCGCCGCGCACGGCCTCCTCCGCGGCGGCCGGCGCGCCTCCCGCTCCGGCCCCTCCCTCCCGCTCTGGCGGAGCCTGAATGTCGAGTTCACGTAGCGAGCACGCCGCGAATCGAAAAGGCCTATAAATTATAGCTTTTGCTTTTAAGAAGCGGGGGGAGGAAAACGCAGAAGTTCTGGTGCGCGTTCCTGGATGGAAACCTCGCCGCCCTCCTTCCCGGGTCCTGCCCGAGCGGCTCCCAGCCCGGGGCCCGCACCCTCCGCCTCGCTCGCGGCCGGGCCGCCGCCGGGGCCTGGGTGCGAAGTCCCTGCTCCCGGCCGCGCCCGCCGCCGCGCCTCCCTCCGTGGGTCCGCAGGGTGGGCCTGTCCGGCCGTGCGTCCATCCGAGCGCGGGGTGGGGGGAGGCGAGGCGAACTCTTCCCGGGAGGTGGGGGCCCCCGTCTTGTCTCCTGGCGAGGACAGAGGACGCGAAAGGAAAGGTCCACCCCCAAACGCTTCTCTTGTAAAACAACTGCCTCCAACTCTGGGCACCGACATGCAATCCTCCCAATTTATCCTGGCATTTCGGGAATGTAAACAGATTCGCTGCATCTCTTTTCTTTCGGTGGAGTAAGGAAAGGAACCGAGGGAGCTGGGAGGTTCTATCCACATGGCACCCACGCTCTGATCTGCGTGTATCACACGCAACATCTCCGGTAAAGTGCATTTCCTGGTGTGGTCCTGGGGGGGGGAATCTGCTGCTCCCCACCCACCCGCGACTTTTTACCTCCATCACACACAAAAAAGTGATTCAAGTTAATACTTTTTTCCCCTAACAGACTTATTAATCTTAAAAAAAAAAAATAATTTGAGGCTAAAGAAAAACAGACTGACCCCACCCCCTTTTTTTCTGATTGGGGAGCCAACCTTTTGCTGGCCTGGCCGGCCAATGGGAAGAGAGAAAAAACCCGGGTCCTGCCTTGGTTCCACGGGTCCGCCGTGGGGCTGTGGGCAAAGGGAGGCGGGGTGAGGTGGGCCGGCTGAGTCCCTCCAGACACTATCTGAGGCCCGGTACCCAGGTCCCCAACCTCCCTAGTCCCTGGGTGGCTGAGGGGCCCCTCCTGCCCCAATTCAGCCTCTCTGCTCCAACTAAACCACACTGAGTCTGTCTCTCTCCTTGTTAAATAAAACAACTTCAAGAGTTGAAATATATATATTTAGATATTTTTTCTTAAATAAGATATTTACATCTAATAGAAAATATAACTCTAGAGATAATCTTCCAACAAAAACTGAGGGGGAGAAAGGGGGTATGAAGGGGTGGGATGTGTGGTTAGGGAGGGGACCAGCCAGAAGGCTGCCTCCCATCCCAAAATAAAAAGCATTATGCCAAGTTTTTGCTCTCACTCTCTCTCCTGCTCTCTTGTCCTCACCCACCCAACAATTCATCTTTTCTCTTTAAAAAAGCCTTGGTCCGTGTTACTTTCCTTAATGGTGACGGTCAAAAAGTTTGAGGTCACATCGGTGACCACCACCTTCTCCAGGTTGGTCAGAGAAGGACTCCAGGACTCTTCCTCTGGGTCTCCCAGGATTCTGGCCACTGGGATCCTGGCGATGAGGGAGGGCCTTCCCCCCTGAGCCCCCATGTCCCGATACAAGCCTCCCACAGAGCCGGGGGTGCCTGACCCATGCCGGACCCGGGGACCACCAGAGTCCAAAGCACTCTGGCCTTTGGCCTCCAGGAAAGCAGCCCTGTGCTTTATGACCCTGGCGGGAAAGGTGTCCACAGCGAGCTTGCTTGTGGCCTCAGCTGGGCTGGGGCTGGCTACACCACACTGGGCCAGGTCCGAGTCCTGCCTTCTGGCCAGCTGGATCACGCTGTGGCCTGCTGGGAACTTTCCTGCTCCGGAAGAGGTGTCCTCCAGCTTCCTGTTCTTGAGGTAATCTCCCAGGCCATCACTGGGTTCTCCCAAGGGCCTCTGCGAGGGGTCTACGAGCTCCTTCCGGGGCTTGGGGCCTCGTTTCTTGGAGCTGTCGCCTGGCGAGCTAGGCTTGTCATCCACGCGGCTGGCACCCCGTTCTCGCTCCCGGTCCCTGTCTCGGTCCCGAGGGGGCTCCACTCTGCAGGTGCTGCTGGTGCTGCTGCTGCTCCCAGGTGGGGACAGACCCATGTTCCGAAGGCCCTCACGGGCCCGGGAAGTAGATGCCAGGTCCTGAGGTGAGCGGCCGGGGTAAGGGATCCGGATGCCACGGGCAGAGTCACTTCGGAACTCGTAAGTTTTCGCCTTTGCTTTGGCCTGGGCCTGCAGGAGAGAAGGGGACATCAACAGTGGAGCAGGGCCCTGCCCATCCCCCTCCCCAGGACCCCTCTTGCAGCCCTGGCCTCCCAGCTTCACCTTCTGATGCCTCAGAATTTCTATATGGCTGGGGGTGGGGCTTAGGGGTAGCAGTCTGGGTGAAGAGGGAGAGGAAGGGTTTGCCTGGAAGCAGCCATTTGCAGCAAGCACACTTCTTGTATTTGATTATATGTCTGTTTGTGATGGCTGGGGGTGGGCAGAAATTCTAGAGGGGTTAAGCCTCCCCCAAGACACCCCTTGGCCACTGCCACTGACCTGGTGATAGCCTGTCTGGGGGCCCCCTCCTAGATTATAAATAGGCAAAGTGTGTGGACACCCTATTGGTTCACAAGCCCTCAGGGCCCCCTTCCCACAAACTGATACAACAACATTGCTGCCACCATTGGACAATGCCATCCTACCTTGAGGAGGAAGGTTTTGGGCTTGGGACCTCGCTTTTTGGGGCCATAGAGCTCCATCTCTCGTTCCCTAGAGAAAGGAGGGAGGGAAAAGGGGGTGTGAGTCAAGAACCTGATGGGACTCCAGTCCAGGCTGGAGAGAAGCCATCCTCCGTGTTCCTAAGTGAGGAGCTGAGGCTTGGATGGGCCTGTACCTTTCCTCAAAGGCTGCGAGCAGGCGAGCATCCAGGATGTTTTCTTCAGGTTCCCAGGTGCTGTACCTAGAGGGAATCAGGAAGAAGTGGGAGTCAGTCCCAGGAGCAGGAAAAGAGCAGCGTGTGTGTGTGTGTGTGTGTGTGTGTGTGTGTACACGTCTGTAACTTTTCTTGTTGCATTGTATTGTATTTCAACGTAAGGGGGGAAAAGAGGAAGAAAGAACCCTCCGGAATAACAGTCTAGGTTGAGAATTGCATGTAACCTACTTACTTCTGCGACCAGCCCTTCCATTTCACGAGGTATTCCATACGTCCCTGCAGATGCAAAGGGGGAAATGTGTGTGTGCACGGAGGGAAACGCATGACGAGGACACAAGAAATACATGCAAAAAAATGCATGCACCAAATGAATGCGAGAAATCCCATTGCGAAAGGCACGCGCCCACTGCATCACACCCTGCACGAAACGCTGCACAAAGTGCATGCACCGGCATCCATTCCCCCCACCCCGCCCCCCACCCATGCAATCTGTGCATCGCTGCAAGTCTAAGGAACGCGTTTGGGCTCAGAGCCGCCGCCGCCGCCACGGCCGCGGCCGCTGCTGGGACCTGGGGGAAGGGAAGCTGCAGTAGGGGGAGGGAACCCAGGCCGGGAGGGGAGGGCTCGGCAGGCCTCGGCCCGAGGCCCGGGGGCACCTACTTTCCGTATGCGCCGTTTCAGGAGGGCTTCGGCCGCGAACACCCGCTCCCCCACCGCTGAAAGCTCCATGTTGACTCGCCGCTTCCCCCCTTGGCCGCTTCCAGGAGCAGAAAAGCAGCAGCCAGCGCACGACAGACCATAATACTCTCCCGCTGACGTCAGTTCTCCTCCCCCCTCCCGCGCGCTCGCTTGCTCCCCGCCCCCCTCCAGCTCTCGGCTCCCTCCTCCGCTCCCGCCCAGCGCTTCCTCCCGCCCCACGTGTTGCTAACGACGTTGCTAAAGCCGAGCGGACAGGGCCTGCTTCCCCAAGCGATGATTGGGCAAGCTCCGGGCCACGCCCCTCTCCCTTTCTCCCCCGCGTTGCTACGTGACCCGCGTTCCAATCGCCAGGGGGCGGAGTCCGAGGCGACTCTAGAGACCCAGCGCGGGGGGGAGAGGGGGGGGGACCGAGGCCGGAAGTGACGTCGTGGGGAGGGCGGTCCGGCCGCTGTCAGTCTACGGGGCTGGCGAGGGGGGCCGTCCGCCCTGTGTCCTCGCCTTGGCCCCCTCCCCCGCCGCCAACTTGTCCCTGCAGCACTCAGCGTCCCCCACCGCTTTCGCTGGGACCCCCGCGGCGATGTCAGCCGGGCCCCGCCCCTTCGGCAGACCCCGACCCGCCCCACCCCCACGGCCCAGGCTGGAGCCCTCCCCTCCCCCGCCTCCCGCGCGACACAATGCACAATGCA